AAAWKGCGACGTTACCGAGTTACTACGCAATACAGTGTTTAATGTTTCTCACAAAACGTACGTAMAGTARAAGACTAGAAGCACGAAGAACCAAASAATACRATATTTACCAAGAAGGATTTGGACGTGTCACCGGACAGGCCTCTAGCGATCTTAGACACCAAAGTAAAGTGAGTATTTCTTAGCAAGAATACTTTTTGTTTAAAATATGAATAATATTCACAGAATTAAGCTAAGCTTAAATATAGATTTAACTGTAGTAAATTGTTTTGACTCGAAATTTATGTTTTGCACTTATAGAAATGCAGCTTGCTTAAAGACCTTAGTTTTCATTAGCGTTAATTTGATAAAGCGGTTTGCGCTGAGCCAAAAATAAGCAAAGTTTTAACAAAGCCTGACTCCAGGRCTTGAAAATCCTGCAAAGAAATGTTCATTACGTAGCCACAAAGGATATTAAGCTTTGATTTTCAGATATTGAAATCTGCTTATTCATTGGCAAAATATAAAAAATGCCAAGAAATGAGCTTTGAATTGATAACTCGCTATTGCGCTCAATAGCTAGTGTGTTATCAATTCAAAGCTCATTTATTGGCATTTTTTATATTTTGCCAATGAATAAGCAGATWTCAATATCTGAAAATCAAAGTTTATTAGTTTTCAAAGACAAACGAAGCAAAAAAAAATTTTCAAACAAGTATATTTTTTAACCTGGTTTTTATTTAAGAGAATCAACAAATAAGATCGATTTCACCTAGCCTTTTTCTCGCTGATATGAATTAAAAAGTCAGATGTTATCGCGCGCCTGACCAATCAAAAATATTTGCTCTTTCGCACTCGATAATATCTGTATTCAACGTCGAATCCCACATGTACCGAAGTCAATGCTAATGAGATGTCAAAACAAATGATTGGAGTAATTTGCTTTAAAACCAGAAATACGACAAGCTAAAATCCAACTTGTCACGCCTAAACATCGTTACTGTTCAATTTGAAAACGATGTTACTCGTCAATTGTACACCTCTGAGAATGCATACATTGCATGTACGTAGCACAACATTTATTCCRATTTAGGCAAATAACACGTGCTGATTGGCTGGAAGAATYGTTATCAAGATGGCGACTGCCATGACGTTACAAAATGTGCATCGGTCTCATATTCGCAACTAAGTCAAACCTAATTTGCTGTAACTCCTTTTATTAGTGCGGGAAATAACACTGACGCGCTACAAGTTGAACGGGCCTATTATTTTGTTGTTCACACTACATTGACGTCAGTTTTAAACCTCTAAAGGCTGATTTACACGGTACGATTTGTCGCGCGCGACTTGTAGTATACGATTTTCCTACTACACGTCGTAGGATGTTAAGCAGTGGTTCAAAATCCTATTACAAGTCGTAGGTTGCGTACGACTGTTGTAGACAAGTCGTAGGGGCATTTACACTGCGCGATTCAAGTTGTATATACTACAAGTCGCGCGCGACAAATCGTACCGTGTAAATCAGCCTTTACACTACATATCATTAGGGTTCATCTGTAGGCAGCCCTCAAAATCTTCGCATTTCCCATTTTCCAAGGGTTCAATTAACTGTTGAAATAAAAATGGATGATGTGGTAATGGGACAAGGGATACGAAGAGAGAATATCAGGCATCRGTGTCGGTCCTAGTCCCTGCGAGTACTATAAACAGGAAGTCCTAAAATGGAAAAGCGCTTGCGCAGGGCTGTGGCGCGTGGACACGGTCAATTTTTTATTCCCTGACAAGTTTTCCTTTGACAAGACAAAGTTTTTCGAGCATATAAGCTTTATTCCCATCMATATGATCAACAATGGACACCCTAAAGGCTGATGAAATTCTACATTGTTTGTAATAGAGACCGAGTTCATCAGTGGCCTGGGGAGTCAGTTTAAGTACTTGTATCTTTTTGTTATTCAACAGAGGACTTACTTCGCGTCTATGAAGGATTGTCCACAAGACAAGAGCTCGTATAAACGCATTCATCGTGAAACTTCAAATCTGTATGCATATCAAGTAAAGGTATGGATTCTAGTTAATTAAAGTCTGTAAACAATAACATTAAATTCTAATCATTATATAATAAAATAACTTGAACATTTAAGTTAGGCACTGCAAGTCTAAGTGTCTATTTGAAGGGTTTTTTAGGGAAACTACTCTATTAAACTATAGTTTTTTTTACTGCACTATTAAACTTTGACTTGGTTTTAGGGATGTCATGTTTTCATTCCTTAACTCGTTTTTGTCCAAWAGTAAAAACAACACTATTTACATGAGAAAAGGTGCTGTGACCCTAGCTACCTGCGACATGAAAGCCATGAACTACTCACATGTTTAAAATTCTCATTCATATGTTTAGTTGACATGCCGATTGGCGTTAGCCTGGGGGATCTGTAGGATTTACAATCAGCGTCCTTTCCGCGCGGCCAGCGGTACAACAATTAGTCTTATCTCTAAGTACTTAGGTTTTATACATTAAGCACTTTTCCCTTTCATGTAGGGGTATCCTCCCTGCATTGAGGACCCTTCTTCGTGTGAAAAAGGCCAAAATATCCATTACATGTACAGGTATATCTTACATTTTTATTGAATTTATGACTTTTTATGAAATTGAATCAGCATTCTGTCATGATCAAAGTATGTGGCTGATGAGTCAGAGGAAATAATAACGCATCGTTTGGGCAAGTGCAAAAATCTCTATCAGTTCTTTTATTTCATCTACAATGATTTCATTATTCAAAAAACCGACATTGAGCTCAAACCAAAACGAAACTGAAGTTTACTGCTAGATAGGTGTTGCGGTACAGRGAACAAAGAATTTGAAAACGAACAATAGGTAAAGCTTTGAAATGAAAAAAAAATAAGAGTTAGTTTAAACTTAGTAGTATCAAACTGTAATAATTCTGGTCGTGTAATGTCTTTTCATAGTACAATTCATAGATGAACTTTTTATAAATGCTTAAATATGTTTGTCTAGAAAGAGAAAGCAATTTATTTATAAAAGTAGTGCTAGGCCAGCCCCAAACATTTCATTTTTCTTTTCTTATTTTATTGCGGTYCGTCCCCAATGAAATAGAGAACAAAAATTGACAACGCCATGAAAACGCGTGGTAGCAGTTTTYACATTAGAGATGATGGTCTGTTATAGTTTACACCGAGTATGTTGACGCAGAGTATTTTCTATCTTTCTCCGTCATCAAGGAAATGAGAAACTTCATCTAAAACGGAATATTTCGACTGTTTTCCATCTAATGYGAATTTAAGGCAAAAAACGTTTCCTCGTTTACTCGTCGCTTCCGATTTTTGTCAGTTTGGATGMGTAAACAGTTGGGTCAAAACGTGGATAAATCATCCGTCTGARAACATTATCGTCCCATTTTCACAACCGATCAACTTTSTYAGACAAAACATTTATCGCTAATGTGAAAATAATGGGGCCATCGTTTTTGACTTTGGTGAAAGCTAAGCTTCGGATCTCTAGAAATGGCGGGCGAGCTGATGATGTTTGACCGGATAAACACCCATAGATAGGTTCAACTGCATTTGCCATGGTCCGCGATAAGACGTCCAAATAATCTGCGTTGCTTTGGGCTTGATTACCTGATTCAAAATGGAGTCAACCAGTCTTGTAGTAAGATTATATCATTGCATTCTCACTACACAAACAAACCAATCTCTGTCAACGCCCCAAAATTGATAAAGCTGCATGTTCAAATATGGTAAGAATATTGTAGTCATAAAAAACGCACAAGACTAAAATCCGCGAAAAAACCGTRAAATAGTAGTACTTAATTCCTTTTTAGTGTTTCTCTGCGTGTCTTTTTGAGACCGTATTTTATCTCASTATTAAAGCTATTTGATATTGTTTCATGGTTCTCAGTTTAAAAGTCCGCAGTCGATATTTTGTTTTACTATTAGTGACATTTACACTTCTGCTTTTTTTTCTGAACGAAAGAAAGATTATCAAAACGTAAATGGCTGATTGAAACAAGAAAACATTTAACAAATCAAGCAAAGGTTATTAACTATTTAAATTCTTATGTAACATTTCAACAATTGCATGATAACGCGCTGTGACTAGATAGCCATAAACTAACAACCATATCTTAAAATTCACCGCACGAAAGATTTAAAGCTTCCGTGAACAATTAACCCTGGTTTTCACGAAAAAAAACGAACGACAGGCACTCAAACAAGCAGAAAAAAAAAGGCAAAGAAATAAAGAAACAAAACAAAGAAAATATTTTTAGTATACAAAAGTATAATTACTTTTCTTTGTCTTTTCTATGACTGTGTTTGGTCTTTCCTTRCGCTTATGAATATGTTAATGTCAGTGCCTTAAGCCAACAGCTGTCCGCTCCTTACGACGCATGCGTACGCATAAGCACAAATACTTAAAGACAAATGACAATAGATGGTATTGAAATAAGGTGTTTAACAATAAGCRGAAGCATAAGCCCAAGCATAAGTAAAATATAAGGACAAAGAAACAGGCAAGCAAAGTTGATTGTACTTTTTAAGTTTCAAAAATGAAAGTTTGTCTTTGCTTTTCTGGCTTATTTATTTGCGTCCTAGCGAAAACCGTGCTTATGCTACGTTATCGTTTCGTATTGTTTTTTTTTTTTTTTTACTCGATAAAGAGAATCGATAGCAAAGCAAAAACGCTCAGTGCGCGCTAAGTTGATCCGTGCTTTGATTTACAATCAACCATTTGTGCGCATGGTCAACACACGCGTTAGATTTTCACGGGCCATCATTCTCAGCAACTATCWTTCAACTGTTTGACTTGGTGAAGATGTACCACTTGGTTTCAATGGCTCGGAAACTCATAACTGTCAAACTAGCCTTTATTATTCAATGTGCTGGATGTTTGCGTCTAGTAGTTAAAGATGACGTCCGTCATGGCTTCCACTGTGCGAATAGAAAAATGTTTTGAGGACGGACCAACACTAATAGGGAGCCTGAGCAACTCTGATATTATCGACTTTTAAAATATAATTATAAATATATCAAACATACATAGCATGTAGTGACGTCGTTGCCACGTTTATACAATCGAGGCTTTACTAAAATAAAAGAAACTCCTTTATCCTCGGCTTGAAAAACCAAAATTTGTTTAAGTAATGCACAGCTCCCCACTTGAACGCCATCAAAAGTTGTACTTGATTCTTAAGTGGGTTGAATGTCTCATTTTCCTGTTTTACAAGTGGTTTAATTGGGAGAGCATTTACTCTAGATAAGATCCGGCCCTCTAACGAAAACATTGAACGACTTCATTCGATAAGTTATTTAAGTCAACTCAATTGTTATAGCATACTGTTAGTCATTCGACATGAAACCCCCTTAATATTCTGGGAAAACTTCATTGCTTGGTAGACTTATTTAGTTATCAAGAAAATTTTGTCGGGAACATTAGCAATTGTTTGTTGGTCTTTCATTTTAATCTGCGAGTTCTTAGTTCATGCACTATAACAAAGGATATTGTTTTGTAGTATTCTATATACGTAATATTCAAAAACCAGCTTGTAGCAATAAAACAATGAATCATTCTAGTCTTTAAGTACAATTTTATTTTAATATTCAAATACTGTACGTTTAGTTTAGCGAGCCGCGCTATACCGCACTGTAGACTTGTTTATATTGGAACCTTTTGTTCTAAACATCAGCTGCTTTTCTCAGAATAATATGATCGGTTAAAACCGTTTTCATGACAAAGGAATTGGTCGGCTTATACAGCTTGAATAATTAGGCCTTTTATGTGGAAAGTATTGCTAAATATTTGAAACAGTAAGAGCAATTCACTTAAGTCACCAGAATAATCATGTATATATGAGTCGCACGATGAGTGGTAACTCTTCATTTCCGGGAGCGTTAAAGCCATTATAAAATTCTTTCCGCGCACAACTTTTCTCTAGCATGCTTGTATTCACTGATCATCGATGTAACGAGTAAGTCGCCAGGTCTCCGAGTCGCCAAACCTCTGCTGGTAACACATTCTCAAAAAGTTTCCAAACTATACAGCTTTTGTGGGAGTAATTTTCAAGTAAGTTTTCTACAGTGAGAATAATTCACATCTCAGTATTTAATCTATTATATTTTTACATTCTTTTAAACTACTCGTGTTTCTTTCAATATATCCCCAAACTTGTTTAAGTAGTTACTTTTTATATTAACAAGAATCKTTTCCCTTCTTTTCACGAATTTTCCAATAAAAGTCCAGTGTGTTTCATGCTGTGTGGTTCTGAGTAAATCATCCCCGTGTTTTTTTTTATTATTATTATTTACCGAGACCATGTTTGGTGATGTTCAAGCTCTAAGTGCATTAGTATCAAACTGTTATTTTAGTAAATAAAGTAGGTCTACGCGGAGATTTTTACTATAGTTTTATAACCTGACAATGCAGTTTATCTTCTTCAAAGAGAGACTCAACCAAAACAAATGTCATTATCTTTTCCCTGGAGCTAAGTATTTTTCTCTCTTTTTTTTAATACTTTTGTGGAGAGTGATAAGGAAATCAGTCGGATACGAAAAAAAGAAAAAAATTGAAAAAATTAGTTTTTGCGTTAGTACTTTAACAATGTTTTATATTAACATATGGCCATCAGCGGTCATGGACTATAATATTCAAAACCATCAGAGAATCAACTTTGATTGATATTTCATAATCACAACTTAGAACCTTTTTCAGTTTTTCCGGAAAATATGATCCTTTCTGAAGTTTGTTTGTGTAGCCATTTTAGTGAATGATTCATAAGATCATTTACACTCAAAATGAAAAAGATACATTATAAAACCACAATTCATTGTAATTTGTTGTCGGCTCGAATCGGCTTGAATTGCTGGTAAAACTGTTCATCATTCCATTTTTTTTTTAATTTTTGGGATCACCACGATATTCCAGCCCACTAACATTTCAAGGATCATTTATTTATCAACTGACTACAGAAATCTTCTAAATCTGTTCTTAATCCGGATGAAAGTCCACACCACCTACACTGGTTTTCTCTAGTTATAAGGTGTCTATTAAAGACAGATGGTTCATTTCACTTTGAGAGTTATATTTGAAACAATTACTTGGTTTTATTTCCAGATGACATCCTTAAAAATACTCTTCAGCCTCGTCGTTGTCATGCTAAACTGTTCAAGATGCTTTTCTTTTCCGCATCCAAGCTCTAACGTAAGTACAGTAAGTGGCAGGAATACAATTTTGAAGAAGAATTTTACTTTTATACGATTCAATTAAATTACTGTAGTGTGAGGAGGAAAGACTTGCTCGAAATTTCTATTATCTTTCTAACAAAAGTTCTAACAATGTATAAAAATAGCTTGCAAACACTCACCAGTATTCACATAAAGAAACTTTTACATCTATATAAAACTATAAATATTAGGTAAAGAAAGATAGGAGGTAAAAGAAACTTTAAGGCCACCCCTCCCCTACCTCGAATTCCTCCGCCCTCCTCCTCAAGTTCAAGTTCATTTATTGCCTGTTTGTACATCGTTTTCTTGAGCCGGGTTCAAAGGAAAAACTATCGGGGCCATGTTGGCCGTATGAACAAATCTTTTTATTAAAGTACTGCAACTTCAGTGACGCCATGCCAGCTATAGGCGGCCATTTTGGCATTTTTTTCTGTAATGGCGACGATCGACACTATTCAGTTGAAGGGAAATTGTTAAGAAACAAGAGAATAGGTTTGACATTGCAGACGGTGGCCATCTTGAATCTTGGCTCGCAAGGCAATATGGGACGTCCAAGAGATTCGCCTGTGTATTTGTTCAAATACAATATCTTGTTAATTGACGCCAACATGGCCGCCGTATCGGCGAAGGATTACACTGCAATACACAATCTTACAAAATTATTTACTTTGACTGCTTGCGAACTTAATTACATTTATGATAATGATCTACAAACCATTATCAACGATTATTGGATGAGCTTGTTCGGTGATACCTGAAGTAGACAAGGTTGAAGCAATCGTAATAATCATCCGAGTACTGATGCCCGAGGCTGATTACATTTACCGAGATCTTTTTTTTTTCGATTTATTTCGGATATTATAAAAAGTGAATTCGAGAATTGTTTTATTATTCAGTGTTTAAATAGCGACGAAAAAATATGCAAAGAAAGGATTCAAACATTTGCGCTATCAATTATATAAAGATTTCAGGAAATCAAAACCAATTAGTGAATGTTGTGAATTGTTTATAATAACCAACGACTCGCTAATCTGTAAGTTGCTTGATTTTTGAAGTACATCGTTCACTATCGAACGATCATAGCAAAATGGAATCGTCGAACATGTTGGTTGGAATTTCAAGGAATTGCTCCAAAAACATTGATCGTCAAATAATGTTAGATGAACGTTGCTTGTAACTAGTGATAAAACATTTCCCCTTGGGCTGGGCATAGTTAACTAAAGGCTGGGGCAAGCAAACATTCGATTCGATAAATTTGAGAAGCCATGTGCGTGCGACAGCAAGAAAACGCATTCTCAATACACCAAAAAAAGGATACCTTCCGTATAAATTTGGTCTAAGTTGAGTTTTCGAAACAGAACATTTCCTGATAAATTCAATAAGTTCAAATTTACAATATTTTATGATTTCATATTTTTCGTGGTATATCCTCTTATTTACCACAATGGATTCAACTAGTCGTTAAAATGATTTGGTTATCCATCGATCCACGAGACGAAGTACGCACATTGCATGAGATTGGACGAGAGGTGTGTTTTCAAAATACGCGAAATTCATCAATGGATATGCGTCAAATTTTGATTTTTTGCTAACATGAAAGAATTTCCCAAATTTATCAATCATTTCTTCACATACTATTACTATTAAGTCAGGAATTTTTGAGATTGTACTTTGAATTCTTGTGCAGTGCGAGCCCTCAACGCGATGCGTATCTTAAACAAATAGACTATTTATCTCCGAATTGAGTGGAATAAACAGAAATAGAAAAATTGCTGAACTAAAATAGATTTGTTTTGAATTCTTGTCTTAAGATAATTCCATAGCGCCTATTATATGATAACAGTGACAACAAAGCGGGCATGGGATTATGTAGGGATTCAGAGGATATTAAAAAAAATGTACGAACACGAGAACTTATTTTTATCTCGCTGTACTGTATTTTCATCTTTTGTTGCTATTATTAGCGCTCCGGGAAATTATCTTTTTTATAATTTGAATGATTTGTGTACTTTCCAATGATGATGTCATATAACTGAACTCCATCGTAAATTAAAAAAAGTTCTTTTTTAAGATTTAATATGAACAGCGTTCCTTAATGTTGGTCGCAGTTTTTTTTAAGATTTTCAGCTCATCATTGTCTACAATCGTCATTACAATGATCTCCGCGTGGCATATGACAATCATTAACATTTCTCCCGTGTTTTAGTGAACGACGACCGACTTTGAATTGATCAAACGACTACATCCTTTCTGGATTCAAGAAGAACTGAATACATCATTTGGAGCATTCGTATATAGAAATATTTTTTATCTGTTTGTTATTTTAAGGCACTTTTGTTTTTATTGTCCTATCATTTGACAAATGCATGTATCTCAGGCTATCCCTGTCATGTTATTTACTCGGGCTTCGCCATCATGAGTCGAGCATTGCGTGTTGTTACATGGTGATAAACAGATTCTTTCATTTCTCCATAGGATTTATCTATTTATACAATGGATATCAAAGAGCCACTTGGTAACTCATACCAGGAAATCGTCGGAATCGACTCTTTGCGGCAATTAGAGTTCTTTGGTGTTCCCACCTACGGCAGGATCGACGGAGCTGAATTCTTACTGGATTTTAAAAAGGTTATATAACACTAAAGATTACACATTATACAACTCCCAATGAATATTTAAGAAGGGTGGTGAGCTACACTCTCGTGAACAATGTGGTTTGAGTTTACAAAGTGGTAATCAGTTTCAATCGCTCGACTCTCAATCCACTTTCCCAATGGTTCTGGTCCTTCTCTTTCTCTCTTATGCGTATTGATTTAACAGTCCGTGAATTAGCTTGAGAATCAGGCCCTATCGGGCGAGGGAGGGATGAGGAGGGATATAGTGGCGTTGGTTTAGATGGGGACATAAACGAGGGATGGGGGAGAGAGAGAAGAAAAGGAGGGACTGGCAGCATGTACTTAATTTTATCTCTGATAGATACCGATTCAGTGAAATGCAAGCTAATCAAACCAGCTATAAGAAATTCTATTAAATTTAAAAGGCGCTGCATGCATACTCCGTAAAAAACGAGGTTCTTTTGACCATGACTAGTTTACTTTCAGAATATAACAATGGCCAGGATTCCACGACTAAAAGCTTGTTTTATGGCTAATGGTATCGACAGCGACTTACCAAGTCCACGAAAACTACAAGAGACATTTCAAGAGGTAAATATTATACAACTACGTGAAAAAAAAACTTGAATACTGACTGAAGAAAGGTATTCTTTGTTTCCAATATAAGTCACAGCGGCCATCTTGGATGAACTTCAACAAAGGATTTCTCATTAGTATCAATTTTTCACCTCTCCAACATGGCCGCCGGTCTTTTATCTTTTGAATCTTGTGTGGTTGATTGGAAACGATCAATTCAAAGACCGAAATGCATTGTTAGTCGTTCTATAGCTTTGGAACTAGTTTTCCTTTCAAACATGAAGTTTGTTGAGTTGTTCTCTCAGGGGATTCTTACTTATTTTAGTACAAATACTATTAGATTCAAGTAGATACTGAAGTGAAAATTGTGCAAAAGAAGAAAACTAATTCATTCTGTTTGTCTTTCTACGCAGCCTTCAATAAAGCTTGACACCATAAAAACAAAGCAAACAAAGTGGAGAAAAACTGGAGCTTTCACCAGAAGAAGAGTACTGAATCCCAAAATGCGAAAATTGTGTGACGGATATCCTATATATCGAGTTGTAAAAGACACATCGAATCTTACAGGTTTGTTGATACTGTCAAAGAGCAGCAATAGAAAGGCGCTTGTGACATAAATTATCCAAAGAGTAGTAAATAGACTTCTTTCGATATTATGGTAAAATGCTCATGTTCAAAAGAACTGAAGACGAGGCTCCGGGGAAACCGAATATTTCCACAGAGCCTAGTATTTTGCTTGTCAGGATTGCGCGTGTTAAATATGGAAGTGTAAACTTAAAAAGCCTGCACATAGACGTCGATAGATCACGTTTATAATCGACGGAAATTTAATCGATCGAAATTTTAGTGCAACTTGCTTGATTACACTTGCAACCTGTCTGGGCAATCGCGCATGCGCACATAAAGTAGAACGGAGATGAGCAGTACACCTGGCGCAACGAAGCACTTAGCCCTAATGCATTTCGGTACTGGGTTGCTGTATCAGTATTCAGAAGTCAACATTTTATTGAAATACAGTAGCTGTATCGGATAAATAGAGGATATTATATGGGCGTGCAGAGATACGGATTTTATCTTCGGGTGTTGAAAAGATCTGAGAGATTTTCAACACGAGAATATAGTAAAATTCAAATCTCCAAGCGACCATGCAATATTTTGTTTATCATATAATTACATATGAAAGCAAATTATGTCGTAAAATACCTTTTTTCTTACTTCCACAATATAGAGAAATCTCGAATGTGGTATTTTCACTAATGAAAATAACAACTTTACGAAATGGAGAAATATAGGTATTTCATGTATAATTATATGATAAAGATTGTGATTTGGTTTCTGCAGGTCCTATAAAACGCCAAGACAAAGCATGTCACAGTCAAGTTTGCCACGACGTTAATAAATGTTACCAAACGTGTTATAAATGTCAATATGTTTGCAGAAAAGTAAGATATTGTTATAAAGTCAGATGTTAAGGAATGTATTATGATATATCAATAAAATTGTGACAAAACAACTGATTCCAGAGACTGAATCATGTTCCTGAATCATGATATTCAGTGAGAACTTCCTATCTGGGACCCGTCGATGGTAATGTAATTACACTATGGCATATATAATGACGTTTACAGAGGGAATAGCTTAGAAACAGTGTAAATTTTGGTCTTTATATATTCTGAAAGTAAAATTTCAATGTACCGAGTTTCGTGCAATTGTTATTGTACACTAAGACAGTATACAGTCAACTATCGCCTTACGGATACCCCGCCACAACGGACACCTCGATATTGCGGACAGTAAAATACTGAATCTCCGGCGAAAAATAAATGGAAATGACTGAAAGTAACTCTCGTTACTTAGGGACTCTCGCTACTTCGGACACTAAATTACGGTCCCGAGGGTGTCCGTAATAGCGAGAGTTGACTATAATGGATATTGCTTGGGCATTGTGACCTCAATCTACTTGAGCTTTACTTCCCCCCCTTATTTCAACATGACCGAAAAGGAGTATGGATAGAAATGCTTGAACAATTGAACATTATTTTGAGATAAATATTACTAAATATATTACAAAACACAAATCAATCAAGATTTTTAATTAAATAATTCTAATTCAATGTGCACTGATTGCTTACAAAAATATTCATCRTTACTGTGAAAACTGTACAAAGTCCGAGTCATCTTTCCTTAAAGTCACAAAATGTCGATTTTAATATTACTCCGCGTGTTTAAACTGCTGCTTCAGGGCGTCTCAATTGTTTTGTCTTATCTTTTTTTCAGTGAAATGCGATGCCATAAAATTCACACAATGATTTGTATCTAAAAAGAAATCTTTGACGGTAATCATACTGAATCTCTTGGACACATTTGCTTCTAATTTTTGACTCTTCCGGGATCGCATTTCAATAACTTAGCGCCGTAAATTTTCCCCAAGTGACATAGTTTTAATGGTCAATAAGAAAACTGAAATGTTCAACCAGGCCATTTTGTAAAAAAAAGAGATTTGAGTTTGCATTTTTTTTTTGTATAGTCGCTACAAAAAAAAAAAAAAAAAAACTCTAAAAGCAGATGGCCGGTTTTGTTTATTGAAATGACCATTTTAGCAGTCATGGCCAACTCCCATCATGCTTTGCTGTACAAAATGGCGTCGCTGCACGTTGCACATTCTTCACATTAGAAGCAATGTACTGGTGTAACTATGTTCCTGAAGGCATGTGACCGACGTTTCGCAGGAGAGAGACACTTATCGTGTTTCATTAAGAGGTATCTCACTAACATTGTAGTCTTATCGCGTCGTGGAATAATTCCAACAATTCCTTGAAAAGCTTTGATATAAATTGTGAAACGATATTGTAAAACGACTTGTAACGCGATTTTATCAATTTACAAAAGAAAAAACGTCCAAAATACTATACAAAATTTACTCTATTTAGGCTCCTTTCTTTGTTCACTCCTTCTTTGTCGCGCCATTGAACTGCTCTTCGCTTCCTGTCTTCGAAGAAGAACTACCAACTGTGGGTGTATATTCCCTAGCAAAGGTCGTTGGAAAGAATCACCACTCCAACACGACTCCATCAAAAACCAGCATTCATCGTCAAAATGAGCCAGACGCTCAGGCCGAACCCCCCGGCGTACGGCATTCCATAGATGGTCTTTGCTTGCGCACTGTTCAAAGGCCAGGGGGAGCCGTACTGTGCCCGCACATATATACCAGAATAAAATGCCAAAGGCGTAAACATCAACACTGTTGTCATAGCGACCAGAGAACAGTTCGGGTGCCATGTGGATAGGTGTGCCTACGATGGAGCCTGACATCATGGCTTCCGGTTTACAGAAACCAAGATCTGTTATCTTGCCGCGATTTCTTGAATCAAGCTGAAAAACATGCCAGTGTCATTCATGTTTGGCAACTTCTGACTTTTTTCTATTATTGCCTTGGCTTGCTATGGATATGGATGGCCGGGGTGGCCTGGAAGCTTTCATTTGCTTTTGACTTTCACTCTTTTTTATTTATTTTTAAACCGCAGCATTTGTTAATTATTATTTAAGGAAAAAGAACATCTTTGTTTATCACAGTTGATCGCTCGTCGAAAATAACGACTTTGAAGTAGTATTACACATATCTTAACTGCATTGAAATCTCACCTATGAATACTAACCTTTAAGGAAACTTAAAGGAATCCTCACTTTAAGAATCCTCAAGGTGGAGCCCTGCAGTTATCTTTCAAGCATACGTCTCATTTTCGTTTAGCCTATTTATAGCCTTAACTTATACCCATATTCTTTCGATCAAATACGTAGAGATCAGATGAAAGTTTTGAATTTCGGTTTTGTTGAAAGTGTTTTTTTGTTTTCGAATATCTTAAAAATACTATGACAATGGAATTTTAAGATAAACTATTGCGGTAAAAGAAATCACTAACTTCACAGTATTAAGAAACAATATAAATTAAAAAAAAATGTTTGATTTCAAATAATTCTCAAACATCTTTTTCGCGCGCAGTAAATTTTAGCATATGCAACCCCACTACTATCCTTTCAAGTAATAAATCCCTCCTCTAATAAAGCACTTACGAGAACATTTTTCAGCTTAATATCTCTATGGACCAATCCTTGACTATGTAGAAATCGTATTCCCTCGACCACATCCACAGCTACTTGTAGACGAGCACGATAACTTAGGCCACTCTTGATTCCTTGGTACAAGTCACGCTGTAAGCGGTCCATTACTAGTAAGACTGCAGGTGAAGAGCCACCGCCATAGCTGTAGTCAATAACAGACCCGATAATGGATACTAAACGATCGTGACGAGCTAAAGACCTGAGAAATATAACATTGAATATATAAATGAAGAATAACGTGCTATGTACTAAATCATTCACGCTCGAAAATGAATGCTGTATATGAAATTCAGAGATTTTCGACCGTGAATAATGTAGTCTGCAAACCAGACTACATAAAGCACTAGGATGTCATTGATATATAATGCGATACCAAGTTCTTAGGTAAACTTTATTTTTTATCGGGAGAGGGAGGGGGAGGGGGGCTGGTGGTTTTCGAAACTTTCTCGAAGAAAATCACGCCCCCTCCCCCCTAGTTGGATACATTTTTTTCAAATGTCCCACCCTCCTTGATCAAGTCTTATTCATACAACCCCTACTCTCTTGATTCTTAAGAAATACCTTGTATTGAATGTACAAATAATATGGGATAATAATTTATAAAAAACACCAGCTTCCCCCCTCCCATTAAAAAATGAACGGTCCCTCTATACTAAGTTCTGCTTAAAGAAGAGACTTCGGTAACTGTCTCTACACAGGTGGGTTAATTGGTACAGACATTTGATGTTGATAACGTTTGGCATTTCACGTTTTTCAGTGTTTAGTCAAGAGCTAACGAAAAACCTTCACAGTACCTGGTATAGTAGAACTCAAGAGCGAGATCATTCCAATGCTTGTCATCTGGGGGAACAACAGACTTAATGGCACATGGGTGACGGCCTGCCCATCTTTCACAAGAATATACCACCCCATACTGACCACGCCCTACTTCTCTACCAAGCTGTGGCATACCATACAGCACTACATCTCTAAGTGACAAGCTCTCTAATGCCAGACGAGCCACCTTGGGTGCAAAACACTTCCTTACTCGCATACGTTGTTCTTCTGTTTTCTCTAGCCGTCCTGTATGGTTGGCTTCAAGAACCCTTATGGAAGTCGTAAATGCTTCATGTGATTTATGTAATCTTAACTTAAACTGTGAGCATATATGCTTTGCTAGTCTAGTCTCGCTGAGGCTTGTAAGCATGTCTTGAGCAACTTTCTGTTTCCATGAACTATCAACCTTTGGTGGTGCTTTGCCAGGTAGAGTCTGCAGAGCTTGCTTCATTTTCTCCCAGAGAAGCCGTGCAAGAGAAGAACTAGCTCTTACCGTGACTTCAACTTGGTATGCAGCATCTATTACCTACACATACAAACAACATAATCAACTACTTTTCATCACTGGAGATTCCTTACCAAGAAAATTACTTATTAGGCCAGAGTAGGGCACTTTCACCTCTAACACTATGTTTGCTTGTTTGTTCAGACTGAACTGGTTGTGGTGTTTTAAGAGCACATGTTCAATGCAATGTGGGGCTGCCCAGAATTATGTGCATGCTTGCTGTGCATAGAAGAGTGTGCACAGCTATCTACCCATACACACAGTGACTTTATGTGGTGCAATTCAACAAACCTTATAGCTTTATAAGCTGTGCCATATCTACATTGTTCACTTTTAAAGACATAAAGAGAACAACAAAGTCATTTGCATTTTAAACAATTTTTAGAATTCTTAGGAAGAATTTTAATTCTAAACTTAGGATACATGTATATAGCAAATTAAAGGATACTGACCATGTAAAGAATTTTTGGTACATTATGGTTGTATATTCTTGCAAAGAATTAAAACATGATGTATGCAAATGACTTTGGTTGTTTATTTTATGTCTTTACAACCAAACAATGATAATGGGATTAACTGTAAGTCTACAATATAAAGTTGTTTGTTGCAACTGTTTGTTTTGTACAAATGGACTCATGCTGAACATTGAGTCTGATTGGTTCAAAATAAAACATAGCAAATTTTTATACATGGGTAAATTGTGCAAAGGTCCTCAATTGCACTTATGATTATTTAATAATTTTTCACTACGAATTTATTTTTAGTCAAGACTTGAAATACACTCCATAGAAAAACTGAGACTTACATGTTTGAGAGCTGAAGTAGCTGAAGTACATGAATCGTCCTTTGCCCAAGAACCCTCAAGATCCATCTTCTCAAGGCTATCAATGCACCTTTGTAATGTACCGACAAAACTCTCTCGAAGATACTCCACTGAGCTGATTAAATTTCCTGCAACAGCCTTGTTTATCCTTCCCATAACAAGCTCTTGAATTTGAGATATGCAATTGTCTAGATCTTTGAGGTTCACAAGCTCTTCATCACTAGTTAGATCAATGTTTTTGAATTCTAGTAACCCTACTTCTTTTAGGATTTGAGGTGATAGAGTTGTAATCGTATTGTGTATGACTTCCTTGATTTCGTCTTGTTTTCTACTGGCAGTTTCCATGAGAGCTTTAAACAACTCTTCTTCTTTTTCCTTAGCGTACTCCAATCTTCTTGGCGTGATGATCATGTCCCTTGCCATGTCAAATGCCGTAGTGATAAATAGCGACAACACTCTAGAATGAGCTTCATTTAAAGCTGACGAAGCTGTCACTAAATGATATTGTAAAACTTGACGAACAAAGAGTAAGAAACATGGAAATAATGAAAAGTTTTCAATCATGGTTGACTTGGGTCGAACAGAATCCACAATTGCTCTTAGTGAGGACTTATCTTCACTATTATCTAAATGTAGATTATCCTTCTTGTCACTTAACTCTGGTGTTAAGTAACCTATATCACAGAGCTGTTCATAGATTTTTGTTTTGGATTCTGTTATTTCATAGACAGCTTCATGCTGCTCTGATTCAGTCATTGATTCAGTGAGTTGAGGTGCTTTTCTGCAGCACTTGACAAAAAATACTGGTAAATCTGGAGCCAATGCCTTTACTTGAAGCAACTCTGCATTATCCTGTGCAGCAAAATATAATTACAAGTGAATATCAAGTTATGAAAGACAAACACAACATACACAACATGACCAAGGTCTTTCTCACTGTTTACTCTCAAGTGATGACAAAATTTCTTCAACGTTATAACCAAAGAGTTATTTAGCTACAGGTACTTTTTATGTTATCTATCTAACTGAACTGCAACAGGCTGCTGAAAATGCTCTTTACCACACAGCATAGGTCCACAGTTGCTTATATACAAAAGTATGATGAAGCAGATTTTCATTGACCTGCCATGTTCAGTGAGTGTAGTAAGTGCTATAGAGCGGATTTCATATGAGTGGGAAACGGACGGTACTGTACTGCAACCGTAATCGTACTGTAACCAAATTCTAGTGCCCCATTGTTTCACCAAAATTCTGCAGGCCAGGTGCAGTAACTGTGCGGTAACGGTGTCCCACTCATATGAAATCCGCTCTATAGACCAAATACACTGCTAAATATAAAGAGTCATATTGTAAAATATTCTTTACAAACATCATGGCATGAAATTGAAAAAGGAAAAATAAGTAAAACAGAGAAAGATGAGAGAGAACATCTAGCGGCATATAGTTAAGAGTATCTCGACAGAAAATTAGAATGCTGAGATTAATAATGGGAAAATCTAGTTGTCAGTAGTTTTGTATAGTGAGATTTATCAAAAATCTCATTCATAAAGAACTCAAGAAAACAGATAATAACATTCATAGGTATATTCATGTAAATAACTTTAGCACAGAGACAACTGAAATGACCCTATTGTCATGTCTTGCAACATTCTGATGCATTCAAGATTAGGTTTTCTATTGTTTCCAGTGAACACAATAGTAAGTATTGTTTTCAAATATAACAAGTTTATATGGATGACACAATAAACATCCAAGAAAAATCCTGACAAAGATGAACGAAAACATGTCATGTGCTGACAACTTCATTATCAAAGTTATTTTTAAATTTGAGATGAAAAATATGGGAAAAGATAAGAAAAACTAAGCTTATTATGTTTTTGAACTTGATTTTCATGGAAAAATGCCAATAGAGCAAAACAGGAAGATATGTTCATAATTTTGACATAAAATCATTGTAATGTATTGAATTTCATGGATCAAAATTTGCATATTATATAATCGATGAAGTTTGAAAACAAATTTCGTAATTAGGATATTTTTCATGATAATTTTTGGAGATGGATGTATTTTAAACTTGCAACCTTGCAAGATTCTAGAGTTTATCATACAAATTTTAACAATAAAATCAAGCTATAAATCTTCTTTTAGACGGTGCCTTGTAGGATCTCAAAGAGACTGTTTCGAAAGGCTAATCTAATGAACAATAGCGTCTAGAAAGCGATAACAATGGGTTTCTATAAATATTTTGAAAGCAAAGGTCCCAAGGGATCTGAATGTAAAGTTGTGATGAAACAAAGAACACTGGGAAATTACAAACATTCAAACTCTCTAAAATTAAAAAAAAAACTTACTTACCTTTTCGCTAAGAGTATCAAACTCTATCGCATATAGAAGAATAGGTAATACATCTTCACAACAAGCCCGGAAAATATTTTCTACATCGCCTTCATCATTGCTTGGAGAGCACACGATCTGAGCTCCCGCTTTCAAAAGTGGATGATTCAGAGAAATCTCGGCTACAGCAGTAGCTAAAGCTGGATCTGATTTCTCTGTCCCTGTTACTTCCAAATCTTCCCTCGGTACACATTGCCAACAACCTTCGTAGGCATTTAGAGCGGCGGCCAGTTCAAAACTGTCGGGTAAAACTAGACTTACATTTGAAATATTGCCATACTTGATCCGAATCATCCGCCATGAAGTGCCACATTCGAGGTCTTCCACAGTTGGAAGTACTGGCTCTCCAAGCAATTCATTTATAACACACACTTTAGAAAAGCATGTTTGACCGACGACTATAATAGTCGGTGGTTTTTCACACACACTGTCCAAAAATTGATATTGGTCTTCTGGCAAATAGGCCGATAAAACATCGTCAGAATACTGACCGGATTCGTGCAGGTCTTTGAATGCTCTACTTGTGTCTTTTTTGATGTTCTTTAGAAGGCGAATATGTTCTTGAAACTTGCTAATCTCATAAGGGAGATTCGCAGACATCGTAAAAGTCCAAGTCAGCAACGTATGGCTAACTTATGACTATCTTTCCTACGTTGCATGCTTCCAAAGTTCACAAAGTGATCAAGTTGGGCAACCGCGAACGAGGGTCACATATGAAAACATGTTTGTCTCAGTCGAAAAGTCGAGAAAAACTGGTTATGAATTACCAAATATGGAATATTTTGGGAACCAGTCTTTCCAGGTCTTGTCACGTACGTATAGTATGTCACGTACATTTAAAAGACTTGGGAGAAAAAATGAATAAGAACAAAATTAAAAAAAAAAGATAAGGAAGGGAAATAGGAGAATCAAGAGCTTGACAGTTGAAGAGTTGAAATTGCAGTTAAGAACTATGGTTGAAGGAGACAGAAATGATCACAAATGGAGGGAAATTATGACAACCTCCAACTAGGAGAAAAATAAACAAATTTATCATTGGTAGATCTGCGATAGGGAATAGGGGTGCTAACCACTCCCCTTCTTTGAGTTCTAAAATCTAGATAGAAAGTAAAGCCATACCCCGTTGTAATGTTCTGGAGCTATCATTGGTGATGAAAGAGACGAAAATTAGTAAGATTCTAGGGCTAGAGTGTCTAATAGTCTCCTTCACGGTTACCTGCGCCACCTTGAAAGGTAGCCGTGCCTTGTCATCGAAGCGAGACAACCGTTGAGCGTGCAATGATAGAAACCTTCTTTCACACCTATAGACAATTATTCACAGGCATCTATCATTGCACGCTCAACGGTCGTCTCGCTTCGGTGCAAAGGCACGGCTACCTTTCAAGATGGCGCAGGTATCCGTGAAGGAGACTATAGCCAATTTAACATTTACTTTTCTCATTCTCATGAATTATTCATGATGTATCTAGCCAATCTGTGATCATAGTTTATACCACATGATTTTATTGGAAAATACCTCAGGAAGTTATTTCCATTTTCAACTATTCAAACTAATCAAAATCTTTTGCTGAATACATGACTGCCTAAAGCCCCCAATTACGACTAGACCCAACAGAAACACTTGTCCAGGCAGAGATATTTTCTCTCTGTTACGACAAGTGAGAAAAATAGATCTGTTTGCAGAGTGGATGTCCTTGTATTATCTTGGATGAAATATTTCAAAGCCATCCTGTTCTCATTTCCATTATCCATTATAACAACTTTGATGATGATACAATCTATTTATTCACTATATAGCACTTGTGCAATTAAATATTGTTACCCTGCTGTAAGCATGCTACTGGATACAATAAGGACCCCATTACTAGGAGCATCTATGTCCTTATTGAGTGTCACTGATTTTTCTTCAGTCACCTCTATCAGTATTCGCATCACTTGTTTCAGAAAGACTAGACAAAAATTTGCTTTAAATATCATCCTTAATGCTTATTTATTATGTAACTTTGGTTCTCTGTGGACTTCCTGCTTGCAAGACTRCTCATTGGTCGAAAATAAGCAAAAGTCTTTTAACAACATGGAACCTCCTGATACACTAACCAATTGTTCTAAAATACTCTGTTTCTATGATATAATAATATTAGTGATTTTCACATGAAGTTAAGAAAATTGTTCAGCTGCTCGACATGTTTTTCATCAATTTCATCATCATCATCGTCATCATCATCGTCGTCTTCATTATCGCTRATATTCCTATTTTCATCGTCTGAATCTGAAGAAATATCGCTGCTGTCAGACGAGGAATCCTTTGCTACCATCTTACTTGATTCCAGCAATGATGARGGTGAAGCAGTAAGATTTGGTTCTTTTTCTGGAGATTTGGACTTGGTATCGATTTTAGCATTTGTTTCCTGTCTTTTGGACGACTGCGACCTTATTTTTTTGACTTGCATGTTGGATTCTATTCGCTCTAAYGTCAATGTCTGTGACTTTTTATCCACAATAAGAAGAAATTCTTTTTGGCAAAGTCTTTTGGACCCATTGTATGTTGTACTTCCAGAGTCCTGAATATGTGGAACTTCAACTGTTACATCATTTTTATTCCCAACAGCAAGGGAACCAGGTTTGGTTGAGTCAATGGAAGCTGGCTTAAAATCATATCGTACGGTATGAAATACGCTATCTTGTTCGCTTCTTTTGTTGCTGAGTGAATTCCCTAAAATTAATTCATATTCTTCCTCTTTGACAAAGGAGAATACATCACTTTCCGCCATTGAATCCAACKATCAGCAGAAAACCGGAGTTGGTCTTTCCAAGAATCGCTTGTTGCTTTGTCAAAAAAAATGGACTATATAGTGGGCTGCCTGTGTCAGTCCAGCTGRGCATGCGCTTCTAAGTATCACGCTTCCGATGATGTCACGGGCTCAATATTTATCGGGAATTTTCAGCGAAGAGCCATGTTGGTTGTTTTAAATGTTATTTAAATAAGATTATTTTTGTTCTTTGTTCSCATTTTCTTAAACATAATCAGAGAGCAAGTTCTTTCCTAAATTACCAATTAGGCGTAGTATTTCTGTGGTGAAGAATTGTGTTCAAAAACGGCGTCAAGACGACGGCCTCTAAAGATACCCGATCATCGACCAACATCGCTGGTAGTACAACCAGGTCGTTAAAACGATTGAGTTGTGGAAATATGGCTATCAAATGCCAACATCAACAACATGAAGATCTAGATAACCAATCAAAGGCTAAAAAGTCGTTGCTTGATGAAGAAAAGCCCAATGGAGCAAACATGATCAGTGAGTACTTGACAACATGATCTGTGATGGCGTGCTTGTCAATGCCATTTTTTCACAAAACAAGCGACTTKYTTGGTTAGCCATTTCATTATCTTCATTTCAAAACAGTACCAGGGACATAAAAGTACTATTTTTAGCATTTGCTTGTCATTGATCGCATGTGATSGATCGCCTTGGATGWCCAAATAGCTTAAGCCGGTTGCGAATGTATTAACAGAAAATTACCTAACTTTCAATTGAACTTGTCGTTATTGGTCAATCAAAAATTTCCCCTTTTCATCCTGGTGTTCCCCCATTCTCTTTCGAAATTTAATATAAAAGCATTGCCATCCAAAGAGTCAAACACCTTGCTCGCTGACAACTGCATGTATTGGTGTTAATTCCTGTTCATGCATTTATAGCTGCATTTTCCGTTTGGCCTCATTTTATACAGCGTGTCTTGGACGAGCTTACTTATATATAGCGAAGAAAAGTATAATTTAAAATACAGGATGTTGATAAGTAAGAAAGATGTGGAATCTTAAAAATTAAAATAATGGGCAATAGGAAAAAAAATTATTATTATTATTATTATTATTATTATTATTATTATTATTATTATTATTATTATTATTATTATTATTTTGGTTGTAGATAATAAGGAAATATAGTCTTTTTAAAAGTTACAGAATGATTATTGATTATGATGCTTTGATCTCATGGGAACTATTTGATTTATTTCAGATGCCAATGCCGTTCAAAAGTATGAATTACAGCATGTAAAAAATGACTGGTTTGAGAAGGTACTCATTCAGTTCTTTCATTCATAAACACATAAACGAGATTGCTAGATTCATTTGATTTATTTGTCAGCATTTCTGAGAAGTTCCTTAGAAATAATCCCTATTTCATATCATATTATTATTTTGACTGACAGTTAATTGTGTACTTCTTGCAATTGCAGGGAAAAGATTTGCTAACAATACACGTATACATAAAAGACCTTAAGAAGGAAGTTCTTGATGTTCGTATTTGTGAAGATGAGTTGAATATACAGTTTTCAACAAGGTACATGTATTGTGTAGTATATATACCTTGCATTAYGCAAGAACAAGTGGATATGGCATTGTTTATCTCAAGTATTCTTTAAAAATACATATAAATAATTTGCTGAAGTACTTTGTTGTGAAGTATTTCTTGAGGTTTTTAGCAAATTCATTGTTTTATTTAAAACATGAAGGCTTTTACTATGAATGAATCTAACTGCAGATGGTATGAAGCATATTGTTATAAGTAATAGCATGGCTTCTTCGGGAGATTAGGGATTAAATGTTCCCGAAGCTGAGGGCAGATAAGTTGAAGTCCCAACGGTCACGAACTTTTAAACAAGTGCTTTTCAGTTCTATTTCAGTTCTCAATGGTGAAGTTAACGAACCTTAACTTCAGCCCTGAAAAGTAGTTTTTATATTTGCAAGTATAATGCCAAGAAGCTTATTAACTATTATCAAACATTGAAATTCCTCAAGTGCACATGCTCAGCGGTACAAAGTAGTGACTTGGAACCAGAGCTACTTGGTCAATTTGGCCCAAAAATCATTCCACATTTCAGTGTGACTGATACGATAATGAGAGCGTTCAATTCAGAGTTAAAAGGAAGACAGCTGTAGGGACATTTAGTTGTCCCTACTAGGAAGCAATAAGGTTTCCTTTGCCTTCCATTCCTCATGAATTACAAGAGGGACGATTAGTCTACATTGTAATCTTCCCTCATGTTATTATGCATGAGGGACGATTACTAGCAATCGTCCCTCATGCTATTCATGAGGGAGGGATGTTCGCTTGTAAACATCCCTCGGAAGACAAAAGAATCCGAGGTGATCATGGTATTATATTCTATATCCTTCAAAGTAAAGCTTGAACAATTTGATTATAAGGATTGTATCTACTGAAGCCTTTGCTGCTATGTGTAGTTAGTTAGTAGTTGAATCCAAGCTTTCGCTTTCTACAGCATCATCAGCGAATGTAGAAGACTGAAAAAGAATTTGATTATGTATCAGCATTTTACATATATATCTCTTGACTACTGTAATTGTGGGCGGGGGTGGGGAAATTTTTTTTCACTGACCCACTTCCTGTCCTGTTACATGTATACAGTAGTCAATATGTATTACATACACCATTTCATTGACTTATGACCTGTTGTTATTTCAGTGAAGATAAATTTCTGAATATGTATCAAGGAACAACTGAAAACACACTTTTCAACTGGAATGTTAAATTGAGGTATTGTACTGCCAATTTGAAATTTTTTTCCTTAAATACTTGTGTGATTGACATATTTTATTGTTATATGATATATACATGTTTCATTTTAATAATGTTGTTTTAGAGGAAAGATTGATGTGGAAAACTCTTCATTCAAGTTTCTGAAATTTATGATTGAGATAAACCTAAAGAAACAGATACCAGAACGATGGGGATCCTTACAAAAACCTAATTTTCCAGGTAATTCTTCCCATAAATAATATATTTCTGTTATTTGTTGTACGCTTTTATGTACATAGTTTAATCATTTTATATGCCTGGGCACATTGCTTTTGCTTTGCTACACCTTCATAGCTTTTTGGCATTCTGTCAATCTTCTTCTCTGTAGTATTTTCTCTTCTTTCTTATCAAATGTATTTTTATCTGAAAGTATTAATTATCATAGATGATGAATTGTGTTTGAACTTTTCAATTTCCTCATACTAACTAGTATATATGGTAAGTATATGGCATAACTTTGGTTTATAGATGCACTGACCTTACATGAATTGTAATTTGGGAAGCAG